ATAGTCCCGACCAGGTCCCTGACAAGGCAAGCATACAGCAGACGCCTGTAGCCGATGTACCAGAGCTTGATGATCTCAACTCCGGTGTACTGCTGAAACCAAGCCGCACCCGGAAAAAACAACACACGACTCCACCCTCAAAGACAAACAGATAATTGAAAGCAAACAACGAAAGTGAGGTAAGAGCGGATCTCTCCACATAGACAGGTAAAAGAAAAGAAAAGGAGAAGGGGGACACAAAACGACGGCCAACTGGGAAAAAAAAAAAAAAAAGCCCGCATATCGGATGGCTTGCCTCCAGGATGTTGTCCGCATCAACGCCAGCCGTGTGCCCCGCCCCTGGGGCGCGTCCTCTCGTTTAATGGCGCGCTGTGAACATTTCGGTACTCACACCCCTCTGCACACTCCCTCGCCCTCGATCGCCTTCATCCGCCGCCCCTCACCAGAACTTCGACCCGAATCTGGCGTGCAGCGTGTCATGGACCTCCCCCCTGCGGCCAATGGTGCTTAAGGGATAGGATAAATAAATTAATTAATTGATTGAAAAAAAAAAACAAAGGAACGACTGGATCAACCAACCCCACCCTATCAAGCACAGACAACTCAATCCCATCCCCCATAACTAACAACGTCCGACGGTCCCCCCCCCACCTTCCCTCCCTCCCCCATCCCACACTCAGCTGTCCCCACTATCGGCCAAGATGGCCTCAACACAGACATTCCAACGTCGCTTCTCCTCTGTTGTAGCGAAAAAATTCCAACCTCCATCTTCGTCAAATGGATCGGTCGTCGACCATGAGACTCTTCGCTTTTTGTTTGAACCTGGCTACCGACCCCGCCAACATCTTCTATCAGGAACTGCTCTCCTCAACCAAAGAAGAACTAAACGAATGGAGAAGGTGGGAACTTAGAGGACTCCAACTACGACGAGCCCGAATGAAGGACTACGCACTCAATGAATCCATGACAAAATTCTTCTCCTCCAAGATAAAATCCAACGCGAGGAACAACATGATTGAGGGGCCAATGCTGCTTAAGGGATATGATAAATAAATAAATTAATAATTAATTAATTAATTAAAAAAAAAAACAAATGAACGACTAGATCAACCAACCCCGCCCTATCAAGCACAGGCAACTCCAATCCCATCCCCCATAACTAACAACGTCCGACGGTCTCCCCCCACCTTCCCTCCCTCCCCCATCCCACACTCAGCTGTCCCCACTATCGGCCAAGATGGCCTCGACACAGACATTCCAACGTCGCTTCTCCTCTGCTGTAGCGAAAAAATCCCAACCTCCATCTTCGTCAAATGGATCGGTTGTCGACCGTGAGACTCTTTGCTTTTTGTTTGAACCTGGCTACTGACCCCACCAACATCTTCTATCAGGAACTGCTTCCTCAACCAAAGAAGAACTAAACGAATGGAGAAGGTGGGAACTTAGCGGACTCCAACTACGAGCCCGAATGAAGGACTACGCACTCAATGAATCCATGACAAAATTCTTCTCCTCCAAGATAAAATCCAACGCGAGGAACGACATGGTTGAGGGATTAAAGGACCCGACCGACCAAGGCAGGGTCAAGTATACCGGTGCTGAAATGGTGGGGATGGCGAGAGCGTTCTATGCAGACCTCTATGAATCTAGGATACCAACACCCCCAGCCTCAGCCAATCTGTTAGCCCGCCAACACATGATGTCCTACCTGGACAAAACAATCTCATCGTCCCACGCCGAGGGCTTGGATAGGCCAATCATCCTGACCGAACTGCAAACAGCACTGGCCCAAACGGGTAACGACAAATCACCAGGTATCGACGGGCTATCGAAAGAATTCTGGCCGCACTTCTGTCAATACTAAGAGCCGACCTGCTTGAGTTTTTCAACGACAGAAGGATAAAGGGAGGACTAGTCCAGGAGCTGAGTACCAGTGTGGTGCCATTGCTGCACAAGAAGGGCGACGAGGAGGATCTGAAAAATTACAGACCTATCTCACTCCTCACAACGCCGTACAAAATCCTCGCAAAAGCGCTGGCCAACAGAATCATAAAACTGACCGACGAATGCTTCCACATTGATCAAGCAGGCTTCATTCCCAGCAGATACATATTAGACAACGTGATGACACTAAACGAAGCAGCAAAGAAGATCACCGAAAAAAGGATGAAGGCAGCTATCCTATTCTTCAACTTTGAAAAGGCGTACGATCAAGTCAACTGGGATTTCCTTCACGCATGCATGGAAAAAATGGGGGTAGGTCGAAGATTCAGAGAATGGGTCAGAGTCCTGTACTCATATGCAACAGGTAGAGTGCAGATCAACAAAA